GACTATCAGGCTCTCCCGGGTGCCGCGCCTCGACCGCCCAGGCAAGGCCGACGTTGGCGAGGGGGTTGGGGAGCTGGAAGCGGAGGAGGCGGCGGTCCAGGAGCAACTATTGAGGCCGAGACCGAGGCTGAGGTTGAGGTCGAGGAGGGGGAGGTGGGTCGGGGGAGGCGAAGAGTAGCGCTGGGGGTTCGAGGCCGAGGTCAAGCTCGAGGTCGATGAGAAGGAGGAGGAGGAGGATGAGGAGGAGGGGGGCCGGAGTAAGTAGACCCACGATGCTTCAACGATACTGCACCCCATCTTGCCGTCCCATGTTCCGCCTCGCAAGTCCCTGCAATTATTTATTTTCGCTTCGGGGGGCGCCCCGTGTGTCTACCATTCATGTGGACCTCCTCGTTTGGGGGACTTCCCTCACCCTTGCAACGAACATATAATCGCGTAAAGTTCACGTCACTGCCAAGCGAGCGGTACATTTTGAAAATGTGCCGCCCTCCATCGGTGAAATTGTTTTGTGTGTGAGCGTGTGTGTGTGCCATGTGTCTGTGTGTTTCATTTCTGGGCCGCACTACCATCGAGAATTTCAAACAATAATGCCAAACAGAAATGGGCCGCCCTCCATCTGCATGATAGCTGTACAAGTTTAGGCTTCTCGTCATGCATGGATGAGCATCTCAAGCGAGAGCACTGGTTTGAAAAGGGGCCGCCCAGAATCAGTGTATCTGTGAGCATTTTTAGGACACCTGCGCGCGGCGCTGGCGAGAGCTACGTTTTGGAAGCAATCAGCTCTCCATCGGTGTAACGAATATGTGCGGACGAGCATGAGTGGCGCTAAGGCGAGAGCCACATTTCCCGTACCACCTAGCCCACCATCCGTATTGTTGCTGGAAATTCCAAGTTTCATGTTCATAGATTGCGATGGAGTCGTAGGCGAAACGCATGGCCCGTGCTACAGACGCATCCGGTCGTGCGAGGAGGAGGAGGAGGAGGAGGAGGAGGAGGAGGGAGGAGGAGGAGGAGGAGCAGGAGGAGGAGGAGGACGAGGAGGAGGAGGAGGAGCAGTGGGAGAGGGAAGGGAGGGGGACCAGGATGAGGGGAAGAAGTCAAGGTTGATGATGAGTTCGAGAGAGTGGAAACCGACACGGGTAAGCTGGCCCAAAGGCGCTTCGCAGTGAGCCCATATATAGCTGAAACTGAAGCCAAAGCTGGGGTGCACAGACGAGGAACGTGGCCTTCCTCCTCCGTTCTCCTATACCCACCTCCGCAAACTTCCAGGCACCTCCGAAAGCACCCGAAAGGCCTCCCAGGGCCCTCAACTCCCCTCCCTCCCCAAAATTCCAGCGTCGTGTGTTGCTTCCGCCGTGGACCTGGGGATCTCGAACCCATTCCGTGACTTCAAACAGTATTTTTTTGATTGTCGTGGAGCCCGGGCGGGTTTTTTTCTGATGTTCCTCGAGCCCGGAAAACGGCCCCCCGAGTCCGAGATCGCGAAAGCAGCGTTCGTCCTTTTTCCTTCTCGCGACAGCTGGAGGCCTGCACCTAGAGGCCTGCGCCATCCTCACAATCGGCCCCCAGATCTCTCCGGAGTGCGTTCTGGACAGAACTTCGAGGCGGACCCAGCCGTGGTCACAAGGGCGTCCCAGGAGGCCACGAAAGGGCAGAGAGCGTCCGCGATCGTCGACCCTCGATGCTCGATTCTCCCTCGCGCCCGTGCACTCTCGGGGGTCTTTCACGGGAAGAACTGGCGCGACAGTGTGCTGGGGTCGATGTTGCGTCCTGAAGGGTACAACGCCGCATAGTGCAGCATCGGCCTTCACCCCTGTCGATTGGGGTTGCGGATCTGCTCTACGATACCTGCTCACTTGGCCCGTGATGCGCACGGCACGCGCGCGAGTTAGCACACCACGCAGCCTGGCCCGAGGGCTTCTTGTCTTGCGTACAACAGCAATCGGTCCTCGATCTCCCCTACTACACTCGAGCACCTGATTAAGAAACCTCCCCCTGGAAAGCTGGGCCAGCGTTTCTTGACCGACTTGCCGGAAAGCTGGCCCAGTCTCTGGAGAACGCTCACCCCATATCCAGCGCTACCGGCAGAAATCGGCCCAGCCTTGTGCTAAACAAACTTCACTGAAGCTGGCCCAGATGTCTTTCATGATAGTTTTCTTGATCACGTTTCGGCTGCACAGTCAACCCGCATAGCAAGGATGAGCAGCTCCCCAAGGTTACCCTTGCATACTTTGTCTACGGCACATCCTTGGCCGCTTTCGCCGGCCGCGCCCCGCCCAAAGGGTCGACGCGGCCCTCCAGGGCCCTTGCCTCCTTACCGCGTGTCCTTATGATACGGGTGGACTCTACCTCCCCCGCCCCGCGTGGCTCCTCAGGACCTGCGGCGGAAGCTGGAGCGGTGGCCCCTGCCTCCAGCGGCGCCGGGGGCCGCCGGCCACCCGCTCTGGGTGGCGAAGGCGAGCACCGCCAACCGAGGCGGCTCGCCGTCGTCGTCGCCGTCGTCGTCGCCGTCGTCGTCGTCGTGGCCGCTGCCGCCGCCGCCGCCGTCGCCGTCGCAGTCGCAGTCGTCGTCGAGCTCGTCGGTGCCCTTGTCGTCGCCGTTGAATAGCAACTTATACAGCATAAGTGCTGCTGACATCTGGGTCTATGGAGACGGTTCCGGGCGCTCTCGCCTCGACTCCTGTAGAAGCGACGCTCCCATTCGAGTGCGGGCTCGGTTTCCAATTCCAGGTTTTGAAGCCCCAGCAATGACGACAACGATTCCCTTTCGATGATTCCTCATAGTTTTCTTCGGGACGCCCTGGCCAGGGGGACCTTCGAACTCATGGACGTTATTCTCGCTCGAGACCTGCTCCTGATTTAACCAAGGAGGTGAAGGCCCAACTGCAAGACAACACCGGATCCCGCAAAATGTTTCCTAACAGTCTAGTTTGAGACGATCTGGATGCCCCCCAGAACTCAGGGGCGGCGCTCTGTGTCGCGACGTCTTCGCTTATTCTTCTAAGAGTCGGTGAGTTGCCCGCGGGCGCGCCAGCGCGCATGACGGCCATGTTGGCGCGGTGCGCACACACATCATGCCCTGCTGAATGCTTCTCCCTCGGAGTTGGTATGAGAAGACCCCCCCCGAAAATGGGGTCGATTCATGGACTCCTTGGGTGGACAGAAGAGTTGAAAGTCAGAGAGGCTTGTTAGATCACGTGTTCGTAAGATGGTCGTCCGTCGTCGTTGTCGTCGTCGTCGAATTCGTCGAACTCGTAGTCGAATTCGTCGTCGAACTCGTCGACCTAGTCGTCGAATTCGTCGTCGTCGAAGTCGTCGTTGTCGTCGTCGTCGTCGAGCTGATGCTGAGCTGCATGGGGCCTCGGCGCACTCTCCGCTTCTCTTCCTCCCCTTCCTCCTCCTCCTCCTCCTCCTCCTCGTCCTCGTCCTCCTCCTCCTCCTCCTCCTCCTCCTCCCCCTCCTCCTCGTCCTAGCTTGCTGCCCGAGCCCGCAGCGCCCCAGGGGGCAGCGCGCGGGGCGGGCGGCGGGCCAGCGCGGCCATAGGCCGCCCGCTGCAGGCCCAGCTCCCCGATGCACTTTCAGCAGCCATCTTGCCAATGCAGACTGCATCCGAGGCGAAGTTCGAGGAGCGCATGCAGAGGCTCCGCGCACAGGTTTTGGACCAGGGCATGCGCCTCAACTCGTGCGAGGCGGTCAATGCGGATATGGAGCGTCGCCTGGCTCACCTTGAGAAGGAGCTGGACTTGGTCAGGCTACGCCCAAGAGATGTGCCGATCGTCTCGTCAGATTGGGACCGATGGATCGACCCGGCTATCATGCTGGCGCGTGCTGCTGAGTAGGCGCCAAAGAGCCTGGTGCAGGAGGCTCTCGTGGAGTGGCTGGGCGCAGCAGGCTTTACATTCGGCAGTGAGGTGGAGTTGCTTGGCGATGAGATGTCGAAGCAGTTCGCGCTGGCCTTCGCGGGCCCCTTGGCCGCGACGAGAGAGTCCCGTCGGAAAGAGGCGCGCACGGCGCTGCGGCTGGGCTCAGGGATACGGGGTGACTTCTCTATCACCTTGCATTCGAGATCGGCGCTCCTGCACGTGTCCTGTTATAAGAATATGAGAGCCATGTCGACCGAGATGGCATGCAAACGCTTGCGACGGGCACTCTTGGGCAACTGCCAGACTCGCACCTTCCTGGGCCGCCAGGGCGGGCAGCTGCTATCGCGCTGGGAGCCCGGCTAGAGTTTCGCCATCGCCTTCGATCCGCATCCCGCAGATATCTTGGAACGCGGTGGCGCTGGCCGACGCGGACCTTGCTGGAGAGGATGCCACGGCGATGGCGAAGCGGACCTTCGGCGTCAAGGGGCCCAGTGGTGTGGATGACAGATTCTTGGGCGGTGATAGAGTGCGATGCGCGACGTGGAATGCGAGAGCCCTTTTGCGCGTTGCTCCTGCAACCATGGCGAAAAGAGCCAGCCGTCTGAGAGCGATGGCCTCGAGGGATGTGATCGCCTCAGTTCAAGAGACCCACGGAGATGACGGTGTTGTTCGCGAGTTGTTGCAGAGGGCAGGCGCGCATCATCGATCGCCCCATTCCCATCGCGACCCACCGCATTCTGGAGGTGTGCCCACTCTGGTTCCTGATCGACCCTCGCAGCAAATCTTGTCGGAGAGTCTTGTTCGTGGCAGGGCGCTGCGCTTGCTGATCGAGAATTGTGGAGTCGGGTTTTACAGCGCGCCACTGGAATGTGCGCAATTTTGATTTGACGGAGTCTGAGGTAGCAAAGATATGCCAGACAGTACGCGCACAGGCTCGTGGAACTCGGCAATCACCAATGACGTCGACGCTCCTGCTGACTGGCGATTTCAATATTGCAGATATACCGTTGGGGCGGGCCACTGCTGTCTCTCGCGCCCCCGGCGGTGAGATGCCGCCGGCTGGGGCGCCGTCTGGCGCGAGGGCTTCGGGCGCCTCCGCCGGGGCAGGCGCGTCGATGGCAGCAAGGTCGGGGGGCGGCTCGTGGAAGCGCCTCTTCCGCTCTCTCACGGAGTTCGCGCCCGACGCGCCGACCCACTGACGCTTGAGCTCGGAGGCGGCATCAAAAATTGATGGGCTGTTCACTTCCTCTCCCCCTCGGCTTCTCTGCCAGACGCACCAGACGGCGTCGGCTCTTGGGGGGCCTCAGGAAGCTTTTCGGACAAGACCTCTCTGACCCTGTCCCAGTCGCAGTCGCCTGGGGCCCTCGGCCTCCTGAAGGGGGACAGCGCCCGCGCCCGATCCCGACGCGGGTCTGCCCGGGCCCGCTCTTCGAGCCCGCGGTGGACTGGCTCGAGTCCAAGGTGCTCTCGGAGAGGCTCCTCGAGGACCCCCCGCAGCTCTTCAATGTCGCCACCAAGGTTCGCCAGTGCGCGGGGCGTCTCGCTCGGGGTGCTCGACTGGCCTCAGACGGCCGCGAGCTGACGTCCAGGGCAATGGTGTCTCGGTCTGCCCGCGGGTGCGTTTGGCGCCAGGATGCCACCGCGGCGCGGGCCCTGGTGGCTCGACGCCCGCGGTTTCAGGAACATCTCGCGTTCTCGGAGAAACCATCCAGCTCGCCAGCCCAAGTGCCTTTCAGGACCGACGCGCCCACCTTCAGAGACAAGGGTCCGAGATGCGCCGGCGCGATCTCGACGCTGCCCGCGGAGGGCCCCACGAGGGGAAGCGGGCTCGGCCCCGCGGGCAGTTGCAGGCAGCCGCGCGCGCGGCTCAGCTGCGGAAGCCGCTCGCGAGGCGCAAGTTCCAGACAGGAATCGTCTCTGAGAAGCCGCTCCGCTCGCAGTCCCTCGTCGCGCTGAGCGCCTGTCTTCGAGCATGCTCATGATGTGCCTCGTCGAGCAGAGGTGCGCGCTCGTCGCCTTGCCTCCTCAGAGGACTGGCGCAACTTACCATCGCCTCTCCTGGGCGACGTCTCGGGGTTCATATCGAGGGCGCCCCGGGCCGCGCCCGGGCCCGACGGCCCTCGCCACCTCGCGCGGCGCGCGAGGGGGGGGCCCGAGGTCAGCTCCTGACTGGATGGGCCTGGCGGGCTTTCGGCTTTCAAAGGGCTCGAAAACATGCGCGTTTTTGTTTCGCAATCTTTTGGATGGGGCGCCGCAGCAACGCGCACGTGTCGCGGCCTTTTCAAAGGGGGGGCATCTTTGCTGCGGCGAATTACATATTGATTCCTCTTTGTCAAGCGGATTGTAAATTGATCCTTTTCGTGGCTGATTACATGTTGATTCCTTTTGTGGTGGACTACGTGCTGATTCCTCTTGTGGCGGAATGCAACTTGATTCTTTTTGTGGCGGCTTGCAACTTGATTCCCTTTGTGGCGGATTACAAATTGATTCCTTTAGAGGTGGATCACACATTGATTTCTTTTGTGGCGGATTACAAAGGGGATCCTGTTGTGGCAGATTACAAAGGGGATCCTTCTGTGGCGGATTACACAATGATTCCTCCCGCGGCGGATCACAAAGGTTTTTTTTGTTACCTAACAGCTCTTGCTGATAGGTTTCTAGTGGTCTCAAAAGAGACATCATGACTCCTCAGGGGGGTCTGGGCGGGACCCGGACAGGCTGCCGCCGAAGCCGAAATCGCTTTGGACATCCTCGCAAAATCGCTCTTGGTGCTCCCAGAAATCCATTCCCGGGCCACATTTTGGATGCCCGGAGCCAACTGTAGGCCACTTCGTGCTCTTCGACTTCCCAGAACTCCATTCCCGGGCCACATTTTGGATGCCCGGAGCCAACTGTAGGCCACTTCGTGCTCTTCGATTTCCCAGAACTCCATTCCCGGGCCACATTTTGGATGCCCGGAGCCAACTGTAGGCCACTTCGTGCTCTTCAAGTTCCCAGAACTCCATTCCTGGGCATGATTTTGAATGCCCGGAGCCAACTGTAGGCCACTTCGTGTTCTTCTAGTTCCCAGAACTTCATTCCTGGGCCACATTTTGAATGCTGAGGCAGGCTGATGCTGCGGCCGAGGCAGGCTGAGGCTGAGGCAGGCTGAGGCTGAGGCCGAGGCTGAAGGCAGACTGAGGCTGAGGCTGAAGCAGACTGAGGCTGAGGCTGAGGCAGGCTGAGGCTGAGGCTGAAGCAGGCTGATGCTGAGGCAGGCTGAGGCTGAGGCTGAGGCTGATGCAGGCTGAGGCTGAGGCAGGCTGAGGCTGAGGCCGAGGCTGAAGGCAGACTGAGGCTGAGGCTGAAGCAGGCTGAGGCTGAGGCTGAGGCAGGCTGAGGCTGAGGCAGGCTGAGGCTGAGGCTGAGGCAGGCTGAGGCTGAGGCTGTGACTGCGACTGCCGTTGCCGCTGCGACTGTCATCGCGAATGCGACTACGACTGCGAGAACAGCAGAATTCGACAACTGGATTTTCATCTGAATCTTAAGGGGAATGCTTTCAGATATGTTTCTACACATCGCTGTTAGGTTGCTTTGCCGGGATAATTTTCTATTCCCAACCATCCTGTGGTGTTGGGTCCTCGTTTTGAAGAGACGGTGGCCCGCGTCTCCTCTCCTCCTCCTCCTCTCCTCCTCCTCCTCCTCCTCCTCCTCCTCCTCCTCCTCCTCCTCCTCCCACCATCATCGTCGTCATCACCCAATTCGGCACATCCCTCACACGTTTCGTGGCCCCATAGGAGCTCCGCCGAGCGCCTCAGTGTTGCCGCCCGCATGCGCCACCCACACCCACTTCGGCACACCTCTCACACGCTTCGTGGCCCCATAGGAGCTCCGCCGAAGGCCCCGGCGCTGCCGCCCGCATGCGTCACCCACACCCAATTCGGCACACCCCTCACACGTTTCGTGGCCCCATAGGAGCTCTGCCGAAGGCCCCAGCGCTGCCGCCCGCATGCGTCACCCACACTCAATTCGGCACACCCCTCACATGTTTCGTGGCCCCATAGGGAGCTCCGCCGAAGGCCCCAGTGCTGCCGCCCGCATGCGTCACGCACACCAATTCGGCACACCCCTCACACGTTTCGTGGCCCCATAGGGAGCTCCGCCGAAGGCCCCAGTGCTGCCGCCCGCATGCGTGGCCCCAGCTCCGCCGAAGGCCCCACCGCATGCGTCGGCACACCCCTCACACGTTTCGTGGCCCCGGCCGCCGAAGGCGCTGCCGCCCGCATGCGTCACCCACACCCAATTCGGCATACCCCTCACACGTTTCGTGGCCCCATGGGAGCTCCGCCGAAGGCCCCAGTGCTGCCGCCCGCATGCGTCATGCACACACAATTCGGCACGCCCCTCACACGTTTCGCGGCCCCTAGGAGCTCCGCCGAAGGCCCCAGTGCTGCCGCCCGCATGCGTCACCCCACCCAATTCGGCACACCCCTCACACGTTTCGTGGCCCCATAGGAGCTCCGCCGAAGGCCCCAGTGCTGCCGCCCGCATGCGTCACCCACACCCAATTCGGCACACCCCTCACACGTTTCGTGGCCCCATAGGAGCTCCGCCGAAGGCCCCAGTGCTGCCGCCCGCATGCGTCACCCACACCCAATTCGGCACACCCCTCACACGTTTCGTGGCCCCATAGAGCTCCGCCGAAGGACCCAGTGTTGCCGCCCGCACGCGTCACGCACACCCAATTCGGCACACCCCTCACACGTTTCGTGGCCCCATAGGGAGCTCCGCCGAAGGCCCCAGTGCTGCCGCCCGCATGCGTCCCGCACGCCGATCTCGGGACACCCCTCACATGTTTCGTGGCCCCATAGGGAGCTCTGCCGAAGGCCCCAGTGCTGCCGCCCGCATGCGTCACGCACACCTAATTCGGCATAACCCTCACACGCTTCGTGGCCCCATAGGGAGCTCCGCCGAAGGCCCCAGTGCTGCATCTTGGGCCGTCTTGGCGCGTCGGGAAGCGGAAGAGGCAAGAACGCCAGCATTTGTCAAAAACGTATGGGAAATCCATGAGTTGAACCTCTTGGGCCTCTCGTAAGAAAGCTCCTGGAGGCCTCTTAGGGGCGCTTTGCAGGCCTCTTGGGCCGTCTGGAGGCCGTCAAGGCGTCTTGGACAGATCGTTCGGCGATTCGGGGTTCTCTTGGACTGTCTTTGGGGCCTCTTGGGGCACTCTTGGCCCGTCTTGTGCCTTTTTTGGGCTCCGGGACTCCCCCGGGGGGAGGGACATTTGACCCCCCTCCCCCCCCAGGACCCCCCCTGACCCCCCCCCCGGCGGGGGAGGGATCGAAGGGAAGGGGCTTCCCTTCGACTCAATTACGACGTTGGTCAATTTCGCTTTGGCTGGCGCGCTGAAGAGGTCCCTGGGGCTGCCCGTCGACTCAAGTACGACCAACGAACGACAGAGAGGGGGGAGGCAGCGAAAGGGGACGACAGAGACGACGACTAACGAATGACGGAGATGACGAGTTGAACGGACAAGCCCCTCACACACGCCGACAGGGTCGTAGGAGCCCACCATGAGTTGATTTATTTTGACTTGTGTCAGGAGGTTCTGGGGGATGGCACGCCGAACCTGGAGACCAACAGCGACACCTCACGACTTACTTTGTGCTAGGCGATCATATGATGACCAACCCCAGTAATGCTAGTCAGCGAGCAGTGTTGCCGCTGCCCACACGAGCCTACCAATGCCACTGCCACTCCCTTCGCCTTTGCCACAATAACGCCCCCAGATCTCCCAGGATATGTTTTTGTCAATGCGCGGTCCCAGAGGGAGTAGCTTTTCGCCCCAGATCCATTCTTGACTGCCTCGGGGCCCCGTGACGGGCCCCATGATGCCGACATCGAGGACAGAAGGCCAAGACCGAAACATGAGACCCTCAGACTCATGGGGCCACCACCGTCTTTCTTGTTCTGCTTCTGCCAGCCCTCGCAGCGACATGGGGACGAGGCGCCAGGGAGGTTCGGCTCTGACCGACCCGCCCGTCCCCGCCGCGGCGGCCGCGCGGCAGCCCCGAGGTCCAAGTGGGCCCTTCAGGCCCCGCGGGTCCCCCCGCGGCGGGGCGCCGATGCTCGCCCTGCGCAGCGGCCACGGCGCCCGG